CCAGACTAACTATGTAACTATGTATGCAGCTACTACTGTGTATATCAAACAAGAAAACAACATTGTACAAAAATTATTATTATTATTATTATTATTATTATTATTATACAGGATTTATATAGTGCCAACAGTTTGCTCAGCGCTTAACAATATAACGGGAGACAATACAGCAACAATACAGTTCAATACAAGAGGGTTAGGAGGGCCTGGTCCTGGGAGCTTACAATCTAGGAGGGAGGGGCTAGTGGTACAAAAGGTAGTAACTGTGGGGGATGGACTGGTAGGAGGAGTAGAAGATTCCATTATTAGCTGAGGGCAGGATAGGCTTCCCTGAAGAGATAGGTTTTCAGACATTGCCTAAAAGTGAGCAGAGTAGGCGATAGTCTGATAAATTGGGGTAGAGAGTTCCAGAGGATGGGGGAGGCTCTGGAGAAGTCCTGGAGACGAGCATGGGAGGAGGAGACAAGGGAGCTAGAGAGCAGAAGGTCGTGGGAGAAGCGGAGAGGACGGTTTGGGTAATATTTAGAGACAAGATCGGTGATGTAATTTGGGGCAGAGTTATAAATGGCTTTATATGTTATTGTTAATAGGCTTCCCTGAAGAGAGAGGTTTTCAGAGATCACCTAAAAGTGAGCACAGTAGGCGATAGTCTGATAAATTGGGGTAGAGAGTTCCAGAGGAACTATTATCCCTTTGAATCTATATATGTATGAATATCTAACATGTGTGTAAGTTTCCAGTCTAATTTTATATGGATTTATAAAAAATTACAGAGCTATTCGTCTTGTGAAACAACATGCACATCCATTAAATAGGGGCAAAATCAAATGTTCTTAGGATATTTTCTCTCCAGCTCAAATGTTGTTCTTCATACAACGTGAATCAGGAAAATACCACATTATGGCCCCAAGATGGAGCTGATGATAATAGGAAATATATACTTTTAAAAAAATTCTTTATTTGAGCATTGTGCAATTACACAGGTTGTTCCAAAACCACAATACAAGGCACACAAGAGAATCTTCAGTACAAAGAACCGGAGAACTGGGAGTTTCCCGCTACATGGCAACAGAGGAGTTTATGGGAACAGATACCTTGAACTGTACATCAAATTACTTTTCAGTGAGAGCTGTGAGAATGTGGAATAGACTCCCTCAAGAGTTGGTTGTGGCCAGCTCAGTGGATTGCTTCAAAAAAGTCCTGGATTCTTTGTTGGATACACAGAATATAACTGGATATAACATTTATAGGTACAGTTGATCCAGGGAATATCCGATTGCCTCTCGGGGATCAGGGAGGAATTTTTTCCCCTGCAGGAGCAAATTGGATCATGCTTTGCTGGGTTTTTTGCATTCCTCTGGATCAGCTGTGGCTGTAGGATTATAACTTTTTTTTTTTATGGTTGAACTGGATGGACTTTTGTCTTTTTTCAGCCAGACTAACTATGTAACTATATAATTATGTAACTATTTATGGTACTTACAGTATATAGTGCCGTCGATTTACGCAGTGCTTTACATATATATTGTACATTCACATCAGTCCCTAACCCTCAAGGGGCGTACAATCTAAGGTCCCTAACTCACATTCATACATACACATACTAGGGACAATTTAGACAGAATCCAATTAACCTACCAGCATGTTCTATGGAGTGTGGGAGGAAACCGGAGAACCCTAAGGACTATCATTGTCCACAAATATATTACACATGGCACATGCTGGAAACCCATAGCGCTTAGTACCTGTAGTCCAGAGACAAGAGTATTACAGTCATTATTCATTTATTATTTATTTCAGGTACTTATATAGCGCCATCAATTTACGCAGCGCTTTACATATATATTGTACATTCACATCAGTCCCTAACCCTCAAGGAGCGTACAATCTAAGGTCCCTAACTCACATTCATACATACACATACTAGGGACAATTTAGACAGGAGCCAATTAACCTACCAGCATGTCTTGGGAGGAAACCGGAGTACCCAGAGGAAACCCATGCAGTCACAGGGAGTACATGCAAACGCCAGGCAGGTGGTGCCATGGTTGGGATTCGAACCAGCGACCAGGGGCGGACTGACAACTCATGGGACCCCTGGGCAATAGGGGATCATGGGGCCCCTGTGTCCTTGCCCAAACTCAAAAAAGCCTATGAAAAAGGTACCAGGGGCATCTCATGGGGCCCCCTACTGACCCTGGGCCCTCAGGCAGTGCCCGAGTTTCCAAATGGTCAGTCCGCCCCTGCCAGCGACCCTAGTACTACCAGGTGGAAGTGCTAACCATTTAGCCACTGTGCTGCCCATGACATGAATATGCACAATGTGTGGGTTTTAACAATGTAAATGAAAATGATGGAGGGAACAAGGAAAAATACCAAACCAGGGGGCCAGGGGATTCTAGTTTCCAAATCTAAAGGGGAACACTAGGGAATGAGTATCTAACTCAAAACCAAAGAGAAAAAAAAATCTTTTTTGTTTAATCCCTTGGCACTGGCGTCTCCCGGCCCTTTAAGGGTTTCAGAAGCCGGGAGGAGGGGTGGGGTTTTTAGGGTCATGTGACGGTTGTGATTCGCTGTCACGGTGGTCACATGATCGGGAAAGGTCCCGATCGAAAGAGGAGATCGGGACCTTTCTATGAGTAGAGTACCGGACATGTGTGCTGGGAGCGGGCAGGGCGCGTGCTCTCAGCACATATGTTTTTCCTAATTGCACGCAAATATGCAGCCGCTCGGCGTTAAGGCCCAGACGCCAGACTTTTGTGTGCGGCCAGCCGAAGAGGTTAAGGTAAGGGGCAAGTAGCCCAAGCTCCATCTTCTCCCTTCACCCCCCAAGGGGAACCAGCAGGAAGGGAGACAAGAGTAATAACGAGTACGTGTCGGCTCATGATGGTGAAAAAAGTCAGGGAGGACCAAAGGTGGTAAACAGTATCTCCCAATATTTTTTTTTTTTTTTCTCAACATTTGAAGGGTGGTTTTGGGTCTTACACTGAGTGAAGTATATATAATTAAAAAGTTAATGCACTATGGATTTTCTTTTTTCTTTTTATTTTGAGGTTGACATGGAATATTGAGGATTAAAGTGAAAGTTTGGGACGTGGACATTGGACACTATTTGATTTGGAGTTTTGGGACACTATTGAAAGTGAATTTTTTGGACACAAATTACGTATTTGTATTTTTATATTATTTTATTTTATTTATATTTATATGAATTAAGTATTTGTGGAATTCATTCTAGGGTTGTATGTGGGATTTAGATGGTTTTCACAAAAAGGATATGTTGGAGTATCTCCTGATACTTTGTGGTGCACGTACAGGCTGTTCAAGGAGGAAATATATACCAGGGTTCTTCTAAAGTCTGCGCACTTTTTAAACTCTTTTATATATAAAAGTGCGAAAACATTTTGAAGACCCCCTACTTTTTTATTATGATGTCAGCTCCATCTAGTGGCCATAATGTGGCATTTTCCTGATTTGCTCTCTTCTGTATGAAGAATAACAATAAACCCGGAGAGAACATAGCCTAATGATATTCTTTCAGCACAGAACATGCAGTTACAGGACCAACAGCTCTGCAACTTTTATAAATACACCCAACAGATCGTTAAACGTATTTTCCTGTTTAAATAAGTTGGCTATGCATTCCTGTTCCACAATGTCGCTTTGTAATACATTGTATGTTCTGTTTGTTATACACGGTGAGGGATGAATAGCTCTGTAAACGTTTTAAAATTACAATCCTGTGTCTGCTTTAACAACTTGTCCTCCTCCATTATTACTTGTGATCCACGTCAATGACCACCCTGTGCTTCACAAATAACTTCCTGGTAATAATGGTCTGCAATGCGTCTTTTAAAAATCTTTCCCACGATCCTTTATATTTTGATGATCATTTTCCACTCACAGGCAGTACTATAAATAAAAGGCACAAATAATGTGATAACGTTGAAAAGTTTAATTAAAATCCAAAACAAAAATTAAAGTGTTACTAAACCCACAACAGTACAATCAGTCTGTATATGCAGTAAAGCATGCTTGTTATACTCACTGTGGAACCTAAGGGGTTATCCTCTGCATTGTGTAAAAAGACCATTTAATCCTGACTTCTCTGCTCCTCCTCTTGTTCAAATGTCCACGTCTCATCTCTTGATAAGACAGACTGTACTGTAGCCATTCTGCACATGCTCAGTTTGGTGTGTATTGCTAGAGATGTTTTCCTTGGGAGAGTGAATGTGATCAGCACAGGGACATTCAGTGCTGTCTAGAGGGTCAGGGGTAATGCAGCCTCATAGGAAAATCAGGAGAGAATGAAAACTCCTCCTACAAGCTTTAACTAGTGCTTTGCTGGACACTGATAGAAGTCACAAGACTGCTCTAACTGCTGATGAGAAAATGTATTTAGCAGTTTATATTTACTAAAATAATTGCATTTCCATATTGTGTGTACTGTGGGAGACCAGATATAGTGAATGCAGGGTCCGGGGAGACCAGATATAGTGAATGCAGGGTCCAGGGAGACTGGATATAGTGAATGCAGGGTCCGGGGAGACCAGATATAGTGAATGCAGGGTCCGGGGAGACCAGATATAGTGAATGCAGGGTCCGGGGAGACCAGATATGGTGAATGCAGGGTCCGGGGAGACCGGATATACGGAATGCAGGGTCCGGGGAGACCGGATATAGTGAATGCAGTATCCGGGGAGAGCGGATATAGTGAATGCAGGGTCCGGGGAGACCGGATATCATGAATGCAGGTTCCGGGGAGACCAGATATAGTGAATGCAGGGTCCGGGGAGACCAGATATAGTGAATGCAGGGTCCGGGGAGACCAGATATAGTGAATGCAGGGTCCGGGGAGACCAGATATAGTGAATGCAGGGTCCGGGGAGACCGGATATACGGAATGCAGGTCCGGGAGACCGGATATAGTGAATGCAGTATCCGGGGAGAGCGGATATAGTGAATGCAGGGTCCAGGGAGACCGGATATCATGAATGCAGGTTCCGGGGAGACCAGATATAGTGAATGCAGGGTTTAGTAACACTTTAAACCATTTCCATACCGGGTACTTTTACCCCTTCCTGTCCAGGCCATTTTTCAGGTTTCAGCGCTCTCACACTTTGAATGACAATTGCGCGGTCATACAACATTGTACCCAAACTTTACTTTTAACTTAAATTTTATCATTTTCTTCACACAACTAGAGTTTTCTTTTGGTATTTAATCACCACCGGGGTTTTTATTTTTTGCTAAATTAACAAAAAAGACCGAAAATTTTGAAAAAAAAGTTTGCAACTAAATAATTGTTTTTCATAAATTTAGGCCGAGATGTATTCTGCTACATGTCTTTGGTGAAAATAACCCAAATTAGGATGTATTTTTTAGTTTGTAGGATAGTTATAGAGTTCACAAACTATGGGATAGATCTGAAAATTGATCAATCCTGAAGTACTGACAACCAATTTAATTTCTTGAGGTCCAAGAATGTCAGGACAGTACAGATATCCCCCAAATGACCCCTTTTTGCAGAGTAGACAGTCCGATGTACTTCATAAGTATGGCGAGTAAAATAAGCATGGCGAGTTTTCTGAAGTTGTATTTTTTTTGTCATAATTTTTCGGAAAATTAAAAAATTTAAAAAATTATTTTCACTATTTTGTTTTTACATACTGTCACCAGTGCAGTACAGCGTCATCATATAACTGGCATGGCGGTGATCAGGGACACTGACTGGTGACAGTATGAAAAAAAAAAAAAAAAAATTTATTTTATTATTTTTTATTTTTTATTACATTTATTTTCTTTTTTTAAGATTTTTTTTCATATTTCACTATGTCCAAAGTAGTACAATGTTACCATAGTAACATTGTACTACTTTGGGGAAGTGATCAGTATTTTTTTTTTACACAATTTGCTTATAGCAAACAATTACTTTGCTACAAGCAAGCATTTACCTGAATGACATCGATTCATTCAGGGTTTTTTTTTTTTTTTTGTGCTTAGCTGTGATTTGGCAACAGCTAATCACATGACATGTGCATGTGATCGTTGTGACCATTCACAGCTAGACACTAGTATACAATGGATGGCATGAACGAAGCCATCCATTATATACAACTGTCATGTGACCTGCTGTGATTGGTCACAGCAGGTCACATGGTACCATCAACGGGGGCTGGTACTCAGATCTGTCATCGGCCGTGTCCGAGGTACACGGCCGGTGACAGATCACTCTGCTGCGCGGCTCTGCAAGTGTGAAAACTGCACATGTGCGGGAGGACGTCATATGGCGTCCACCCGGAAATCTACAGCCTTTTCCCGGCCGCCAAACGGCTATTGGCCGGACGGCTATTGGTTAACTCTGGAAAGTGCTGAAATCAAACCAATTTTGTACCAGTTAATTGTCTGTGTCTCCAGCATATCTGTACCCAGCAGTCCAACGCTTGTTCCTCCTCTGTGTGCGTGTTTAGGGTCCTTCTTCTGACACATTTTGTCATAGAAAACTATCAAGGAATGGGTCCCTGTGACAAACCCAACTGGAACAGAGGCTTTGGGAGTTGCTTGCAGGCTAACCTCTTCCCTGCTGACCATGGCCCTGACATCTGAGGGGGCTCTATCCTTTGGGAGGTGTGTGCCTGGAGGGTCCTTTGGAGTAGTTTTACTTTGGATTCAAGTACATGGCTCCCGAAAACTCACCTGACTCTGAGAACTGGAGAACTGAGACCTGAGGAATGGGCTACAGATTTGGGTTCTCTGTGCCCAAACCAGCATTGACTGCTTCAAACCCCCCTCCTAGACTCAGATACTCTAAGCAGATATTAGTATAATCAGCTCAAAAACAACCTGATGCTGAGGTCTATTCCTGTAATTTGTTTATTAAGGTGTTTACTATGTCTTTCTCCAACTGTTAAAGGGGTAACTGAGTCACCTATTGTTTCTGTCCATTGGCTAGTCCTCCTGGAGATTCCTACATGATGGGATTAGTCTTGTGTCAACTTTACCTCGTTATCTAATCAGTGTGGGATTGTTCATGTGGGGACTGCCCCTATTTTTGTGGTGTATTAAAAACCTGTATTTCTGTTCAATAAAAAGTTCCAGTTGCACCAAAGCTAGTGTCGTCTAATCCTTGGGTGTCCAGCTATAGTACCTTGGTCCTGTGTGCCAGCAGTGAGGAAGCAGTTCTCTGATGGAAGCACCCAGGCAGGGTGCCAGGAGGTCCGTCACAGTCCCTTTATATCACACTTGAGTACAGTATCACAAAAATCTATAGTTTGTCGACCATTTACACTGATCAGCCATAACTTTATCACCACTGACAGGTAAACTGAATAACAATGATTATCTCCTTACAATGGCATAAAAAGGTAGGTGGGATATAGTAGGCAGCAAGTGAACATGTTATCCCTGAAGTTGATGTGTTCAAAGCAGAAAAAAATGGACATCAAAGTTTGTTATGTATGGGGCCGTGTAACTGCAGACCGGTCAAGGTGCCTATGCTGACCCATGTCCACAGCCAAAGGTGCCTACAGTGGGCATGTTAGCATCAGAACAATGGAAGAAGATGGCCTGGTCTGCTGAATCATGTTTTCTTTGCATCATGTGGATGGTCAGCTGCGTGTGCATCAAGAATTGGCACCAATATGCAGTACGGGAAGAAGGCAAGCCAGCAGTTTGATGCTTTTGGCAATGTTCTGCTGGGAAACCTTGGGTCCTGCCAATCATGTGGAAGCTACGTGACACGTACCACCTATCTAAACATTGTTGCTGACCAAATACACCCCTTCATGGAAACGGTATTCCCTGATGGCAGTGGCCTCTTTCAGAAGGATAATGTTCCCTTCCACACTGAAAAAATAGTTCAAGAATGGTATGAGGAAGACAAAAACGAGTTCAAGGTGTCGAGCAAGGGTCTGCTATTGACAGTTTGGTACAGAATACCACAACATACCTTCAGAGGTCTAGTGGAGTCCATGCTCTGATGGGTCAGCAAAAGGGGCTGTTTTGGTGGTAAAAGGGGGACTTATTCAATTTTAGGTGGGTGGGCATAACGTTGTGGCTGATCGATGTACAGCCACATCCACATTCAAATGCGGCTTTTGGAAGTGCTTTTGGGCAGGTCCATTTAGGAGGTCATCTAAATGCTGCCAATTGGCTGCAGCAGCTGATTAGTGTATTCTGACAGTGGAAGAGTCATTGCTGCCAGAATACAATGTCTCAAAAAGAGAATCATTTATGACCAGCTTTAGTGAGATAGTTTGAGGTGACATAGATGCACATTTACCTTCCACTTTCTTTTAAATGATGCAGCAGCATGCTGGGAACAAAAGGTAGCTCCAAGCACAGATGCACAGCAACTAGTGAATGGTATACTCAAGCACCCCATAGTTCACAAAATGTAATACAAACCAAAAAAAACAAATGGTCACTATTCCGTAGTCTTGCTCTTGGACCTCTCCGCTGCCTTTGAAACAGCTGACCACCCCCTCCTCCTCAAAAAAATTCTATTTACTTGCTCTACGTGACTGTACTCTCTATTGGTTTGAATCTTACCTATCTCACCGCACCTTCAGTGTCACTACTCCTCTTACTGTCAGGGTCCCCCAAGGTTCTGTCCTTGGACCTCTCCTATTCTTGATCTACACTTCTTCCTTGGGTCAGCTTCCCTTTGTTCACAATACCATTTCCATGCTTATGACACACAAATCTATCTCTCTACTCTTCAGCTCATCCCATCAGTTTCCTCACATATCACCAATTTTAGTAACAGACATATCAGACTGGATGTCACTCCACTTCCTAAAACTCAATCTATCTGAGCTCATAATATTTCCTCCCCCACGTGCCTCTTCCCCTGATTTCTCGGTCAGGATCAATAGCACCACTATCAACCCATCCCTACATGCCAGGGTACTAGGGGGTAACCCTGGATTCTGAACTATCCTTTCAGGCCCACATCCAATCCCTGTCCAAATCATGCTGCCTCAACCTCCGCAACATCTCCAGACTACGCCCCCTTTTAACCAATGATACCACAAAGCTCCTAATTCACTCCCTGGTAATCTCTCAACTCGACTACTGCAACTCCCTCCTCATTGATTTACCTTTACATAGGCTATCCCCCCTCCAGTCCATCATGAATACTGCTGCCAGGCTTATCCACCTTACCAACCATTTAGTGTCTGCTACCCCTCTCTGCCAATCCCTCCACTGACCTCCACTCAGTGTCCTCCATCCCTCTCTGCCAATCCCTCCACTGACCTCCACTCAGTGTCCTCCAGCCCTTTCAATCCCTCCACTGGCTTCCACTCAGTGTCCTCCACCCCTCTCTGCCAATCCCTCCACTGGCCTCCACTCACCCAACGAATAAAATTCAAAATACTAACAACAACTTATAAAGCCATCCACAACTCTTCTCCCAGCTACATCACCAACCTGGTCTCAAAATATCAACCAAACCGCTCTCTTCGATCCTCCCAAGACCTTCTGCTCTCAAGTTCCCGTGTCACCTCCTACCATGCTTGCCTCCAGGGCTTCTCCCGAGCTTCTCCCATCCTATGGAACTCCCTACCCCAATCTTTCCTAATCTATCCACCTTTAGATGATCCCTGAAAACCTTTCTCTTTAAAGAAGCCTATCCTGCTTCTACCTAGTAAACTGCCATTTATTTCCTCCGTTAGCTCATCCCCCCACAGCTATTACCTTTTGTATCACTCAACCCTTCCTCCTAGATTGTAAACTCTAAGGAGCCGGGCCCTCTGTTTCCTCTTGTATCAAATTGTATTATAATTGTAATGTCTACCTCCATTTTGCAAAGCGCTGCGCAAATTGTTGGTGCTATATAAATCCTGTATAATAATAATAATAATAAACCCCTCAAAAGAAAGGAAAACCACAAAACACCAAGCTACCCCCTGTTTTTTTTTTTTTTAAAGAAAAACCTTTCAGCAAGAAAGCAAACTGTTTGTTATGGACTCAACAGCAACTGAATGTGACCACTGACCTTAATCAACCCCCAGATATATAAAGACAGCAAAGGAGTTTATTGGGTTAAAAAAATAGCAATCAGAAGCAAAACTCTGCAAATACTTCCCTCTCCTCCAGGGATGCAATGGAGAGACATCCTCTTCGGCTTCGCTTGCACTTTTTGCTGACCCGGCATGCTCGGGGGAGTTATTTATCCTGGCTTCCAGTAGATGTTATAACTGTACAACACAGCTTAGCTTACATTCCAAAGATTCTTGCAAAGGTAAGAAGATTTTGTTGCAAAAGAAGTAGATCATAGTATGTCTATTCTGCAATAAAAAAATGTTCCTGTTACTTTACCTTACTGGGTTGTATTTTTTAATCATTTAAATTCATGATATTAATTAAAAAAGTAGACTATAATATAATTATATATAAAAAAAATATAAAAATTTTTTTAAAACTGTTTCATTTCAGTTGTCTGGCAAGTGCATCCTGAGTTTTAATTTTTGGTTTCCATCCAGAATTTTCATTTCGGTGCACCACTAATACCCTGTTGTGGTTCATATTTGGTGTATCCTGCGCTGGTGATCTCTTATAATCTGGAGATCCTGGTAAGGAATTCATATATCCGAGGTGGTTGGGACTAATATACACTATATTGCCAAAATAATTGGGATACCCCTCCAAATCATGGGATTAAGGTGTTCCAATCACCTCCATGGCCACAGGTGTATAAAATGAAGCCCCTAGGCATGCAGACTGCTTCTACAAACATTTGTGAAAGAATGGGTCACTCTCAGGAGCTCAGTGACTCCAAGCGTGGTCCCGTGATAGGTTGTCACCTGTGCAATAAGTCCATCCGTGACATTTCCTGGCTACTAAATATTCCACGGTCAACTGTTAGTGGGATTGTAATAAAGTGGAAGCAACTGGGAGCAACAGCAACTCAGCCACGGAGTGGTAGGTCACGTAAAATGACAGAGCGGGGTCAGCAGATGCTGAAGCGCACAGTGCGCAGAAGTCACCAACTGTCTGCAGAGTCAATAGCTAAAGACCTCCAAACTTGGTGTGGCCTTCAGATTAGCACAACAACAGTGAGTATAGAGCTTCATGGAATGGGTTTCCATCTGCATCCAAGGCTTGCATCACCAAGTGCAATGCAAAGCGTCGGATGCAGTGGTGTAAAGCACGCTGCCACTGGACTCTAGAGCAGTGAAGACGTGTTCTCTGGAGTGATGAATCACGCTTCTCTGTTTGGAAATCTGATGGACGTGTCTGTGTTTGGCAGTTGCCAAGAGAACGGTACTTGCCTGACTGCATTGTGCCAAGTGTAAAGTTTGTTGGAGGGGGGGATTATGGTGTGGGGTTGTTTTTCAGGGGTTGGGCTTGTCTCCTTAGTTCCAGTGAAGGGAACTCTTAAGGCATCAGCATACCAAGATATTTTGGACAATTTCATGCTCCCAACTTTTGTGGGAACAGTTTGGGGATGGCCCCTTCCTGTTCCAACATGACTGCACACCACTGCACAAAGCAACGTCCATAAAGACATGGATGAACGAGTTTGGGGTGGAGGAACTTGACTGGCCTGCACAGAGTCCTGACCTCAACCTGATAGAACACCTTTGGGATGAATTAGAGTGAAGACTGTGAAACAGGCTTTCTCGTCTGACATCAGTGCCTGACCTCACAAATGCTGTTTCTGGAAGAATGGTCAAACATTTCCATAGACACCCTCCTAAACCTCGTGCACAGCCTTCCCAGAAGAGTTGAAGCTGTTATAGCTGCAAAGGGCGGAGCCAACTCAATATTGAACCCTACGGACTAAGACTGGGATGCTATTAAAGTTAATGTGCGTGTAAAGGCAGGTCCCAATACTTTTGGCAACATAGTGTACATTTCCAAGAAAAAGTATGTGAACCCCTTGGGATTACGTGGAGTTTTGCATGAATTGGGCATAAAAATGTGCTCTGAACGTCATCTAAGTCACAACAATAGAAGAACACAGTCTGCTGAACATAATATGTCAACAAAAATGTTAGCATGTGCCAGAGATTTCTGTAGGTCTTTAGCTGACACTCTGGGATTCTTCTTTACCTCATGCAGCATTCTGCGCTGTGCTCTTGCAGTCATTTTTACAGGACGACCACGCCTAGGGAGAGTGCTAAACTTTCTCCATTTGTAGACAGTCTGTCTTACCGTGGACACAGGAACATCAAGGCTTTTGGAGATACTTTTGTAACCCTTTCCAGCTTCATGCAAGCCAACAATTCTTGATCGTAGGTCTTCTGAGAGCTCTTTTCTGCGAGGCATGGTTCACATCAGGCAGTGCTTCTTGAAACCAGTAAACCCAAAACAGGTGTGTGTTTTTTAAGGGCAGGACAGCTGTCAGCAACACATCCAATATCATCACACTGATTGGAGTCAAGGTTGGCTCACTCCTGGCTCCAATTAGCTCTGGAGAAGTCATTAAGCTAGGGCCTCACATACTTTTTCCTCCCTGCACTGTGAATGTTTACATGTTATGTGCAATTAAACCATGGCAACATCTAATGTTTGTGTAGTATTATGTTCAGCAGACTGTGTTCTTCTATTGTTGTGACTTAGATGACGTTCAGAGCACATTTTATGCCCAATTCATGCAAAACTCCACATAATCCCAAGGGGTTCACATACTTTTTCTTGCAACTGTATGTGGAATGGTTTTATTTATTGATGCTGATATTATTTTTATCACTTTATTGCTTGCTTTCATTGTGATTTTGTGGTCAGTAGTGTAGCACACTTTTTATGTTTATAAGGAAGGCAGCAAACCACAGAATCAAGGTCAGGAACAAGCAGAAGTTAGCAACGTGCAGATAGCAAGGTACAGGGCCAATTGGCTATACCTTGGTCAGAATTCCAGACCAAGGACAGAAAGAGAGATGAGGCAAGACTATTCCAGTACAGCCTTTCTCAACTTTTTTAAACATGACAGCAAATTCTGAACCCATAGGATTTTCTGTGAACTCGCAGCAGAAGCAAATCTGAACCTCATCTCTTAGTGTTGAGCTGTCATCTTCAAATTTAGTTGCCTAGATGTGCTGCCGATAAAAAGTGTGACTTTTAATTTACTTGACCAGCTAAACTCTCTCTAGGCTAAGAAAGCAGAGTATTGGTGCCAGTGATAAATAAATTTGAGACCTTTATCAATATACATACATTTGTTAGAAAACTGAGCATCAAAAGTCATTTTCTTTTGAATCCTAGTGTGACTACTAGGGTACCCAACCCATTGGATGGGAATGTGGTATACACTGGTTTTAGGAATGCATTTTTATTTAACCCTTCAGGACAAAGTAATACCAACATTACCGTATTTAAGAACATGGTTCTGCATGATCTGGAACAAGCCACATTTAAAAAGACATCTCATAGGTCTATACAAGATGGTATTCAGTCCCTTTGTGATCGTAATAATCTGGTGATCAGACCCTCTGATAAGGGCGGAGGAATTGTTCTTCTTAACCACTTGAGCTCCAGAGGATTTACCCCCCTTAATGACCAGGTCTCTTTTTGCTACTCGGCGCTGCACTAATTCAACTGATAATTGCGCGGTCATGCAATGCTGTATCCAAACAAAATTTACGTCCTTTTTTTCACACAAATAGAGCTTTCTTTCAGTGGTATTTGATCACCTGTGCGCTTTTTATTTTTCACGCCATAAACATATAAAAAAGCCAAAAATTTTGAAGAAAAACAATATTTTTTACTTTCAGCTATAAAAAATATATAGTAAACTCAAAGTTGGTTATAAATTTAGGCCAAAATGTATTCTGCTCCATGTTTTTGGTAAAAAAAATCCCAATAAGTGTATATTGATTGCTTTGTGTGGAAGTTATAGCGTCTACAAACTATGGTATAGATACTGCAATTTACGCCATTTTTTCTGCTATACAGTGCTGCGCTAGTTTAACGGACAATTGCGCGGTCATGCAATATGGTACATAAATGAAATTTACATCCTTTTTTTCCCCACAAATTGAGCTTTCTTTTGGTGGTATTTGATTGCCTGTGCGGTTTTTATTTTTGTGCTATAAAAAAAAAGGCTGACAATTTTGAGGAGAAAAAAACAATATTTTGGACTTTTTGCTATAAAACATGTCCAGTAAAAAAAATGCAAAAATCAAATTTAGTCATAAATTTCTGCCAAAATGCATTCTGCGACATGTCTTTGCTAAAAAAAAAACAAAAAAAACAATACGTGTAAAATAATTGGTTTACGTGAAAGTTATAGCGTTTACAAATGGCGGGAAAGATACTGGGATTTTTAGGGGTTTTTTTTTATACTAATAATGGCGGCGATCAGCGAATTATGGCAGCGACCAGCGACTTATGGCGGGACTGCGGGACTGCGGCGGACATTCTGACATTGGGGGGTACTGACTTGGTGTCACTGACATCCCCAAAAACACTAATACAGTGATCAGTGCAAAAAAAAAAAAAACTGACACTGTACTAATGGCAATGGGGAGGAAGGGGTTAACTTTATTTTGCAGGGAAGGGTTATAGGAGTGAGGGGAGTGTTTTACTAGGGGGCTGGGGGGTGTACTCGGCGGGACAAGGCTGATCGAGAAAGAGAAACTGTTCTTTCTCGATCAGCTCATCCTCGAGCTGACAGGGAAGTGACAGACAGCACAGCTACTGCAGCTGTGCTGTCTGTCACTGTTTGCCGCCGATCGCCGGGAAACAGCCGCTAAGGACCGGCTGTGACCCGGCAACTGACATCTGCGGCAGTGATCCGCGGGACAAATAGGGCAGCGGCGCGCCTCGCGCGCGCCCCCTATTTGTTTACAAAACACACATCTTAAAACGTGGTTTTGCCTGCGAGTGCCGCCCTGCCACCGTATATGTACAGTGGCTGGGCGGCATGCGGTTAAGAAGCAGGATTATTTTGATGAAATGGACCATTTATTATCTGATAGGAACACATATGAGGTCTTGAGGAAGGATCCCACTAGTGGTGTCAGGAATGGACTTGCCAGTAATGGTGGGACTCACCTGCCTTGTGGGCTGCAGTACCAGGGCTGGCCAGCGGGTGCT